CGTTATCAGCACGAAACTCCAACCACTGAGTAAAAACCTTAGCCGTCTAAACAACCACGAATCCCTAACAACACCGTCTACGATTTTTGATGTTGTCCTCGTCTCAACTCCATCGAGATAAGTGCACTCATATTCCATTTATTTTGATTTGATTTATAATTTGATGGCATCATTACGTCTTAGACGTTTACATGTTTTATTAAAATATTTCGTCATATGCTTAATTGATATATAAGAGATCGACACATGTAGCTATTGCTTTGTTAGTATAACTCATGATGCTTTACTGTTTTATGACAAATCGGCTCATATTTCTATGGCATACTAAGCATTAGTTGGTGTTGCTTTATAATTATAGGCTCATGTTATGTCAATCGTTATTAACTTATTATATTATTTATGTTTTATGATGTTCGTCATGAGACTCAGTATTTAATTTAATCCTTATTGTTCTTGATTGATTGATCATCCTGTGCTTTAGAATTCACTTTTCTATGTCATGGTTAATGGTGGCCGCATGGATCGTAATCTATAAATTCATACATAATTTAGGTTATAATCAAACATGCTTTAAGTGAGACCAATCGACATATGTTTATTAATGGATCTTATTACTTTGCTGACTTGTTGATTGTTTTATAGCTTTCTACGATGTGGCAGTCTAAGATTTCCGGACAAGATGAATATAGAACACGAAATCCTAGCCGTCTGAGCATTAAACCCTAGCCGCCTAAAAATACTGATTACGTCTCCATCTAGAATTCCAATCTTTCCAACAAAGGAAACGAAATCTTCCACCGTCACCACCACATATCTCTGAAGATGTCTCTGTCTTTGATTTCAAAATACCATCTCCATTAAGATAAGTACTACATTTATATCTCATGTTTACATCCCATATGTTCATGCATAATCATATTCATGACATATTTATATTAATGGCATAATTATAGATCGGCTCATAATTTACTTTTGTGATACTTTATCTTAAGTCAAATTGCATTATGAATCCAAATTAAAAAAAAAAGTTAGAGTTTGTTTATCGATCGTGGAAGTCTTAATTAATCATGTTGATATAAGTATATAAAATTTAACCACTTTTTCTTAGAATCTGATCATATCTAGATTGGAACATGCTCACATCATAGATCGAATTTACTTGTGATGCTTAATATCATGCATGGTCAATTAAAGTATGATTACATGGATTTATGATTGTTTCTAAAGGTTCATTCTCTCCTCACTAATTTAACTGTTAAATCTTTTGATTTTTGACTCCGATGCTGGCGATGAGTGCATACAGTGCTTAATGTTTCAATTCACTTTCCGTCTCCAACATGGAACAGCAACCGTCTCCAATTTCCGCCGACGTCTCTGTCGATGTAAGTGTTACCATGCTTAAGAGTCATACTTATTTTGTGAC